CCAGTCTTTTCAAGCCCCGGCAAGTTCATAGAGTGGACGATTCTTGGGCGGAGGAGCCGGTGAGTGGCCGGAGAGTGTGGCCTAGCGATGAAGACAAACGTTATCAGTGGGTGGCTGAGCCTGGAATTGATAGGAAAGCTTCAGTCTTCATTGCCAATTTCCATGCAACTCGCATCTCCGAATCACTCAGTTGTCAGGCTCCTCATGAAAACGCCTCAACTTAATCTCATCATCATTTCATTCATTTCTGCAGCCACCTTGCATGCTCTCTCATCGCTTTTTAGCTGCCATTTCTCTATACTACACAATTTGTATTAGCAGTAATTTAATTATAACGTTTTTATACTGAATAATGTTGTGAAATACTGTAATAAATATCAAATCAATATATATTTGTACGGAGATTAATTTGTTTAGTTATATATATCTTCTACATTAATTTCTTTCTCTTGATTATACAACAAGAACATAATGTTTTTATGCATGATTGATTGGGTTTAAATCAATGCCTTCAAGAAAAAACAGTTACTAGCTAGCTAGCTGGTATCATGGGACAGCAGATTGTCCATCTAGCTCTTTAATTAATTTCTGCCACTAAATATTGGACGCTAAAACTAATGGTTTAACCCAACTTGATTTTTTGAGGAATTGAAACCAAACTTAAGTAAGTTGACTGGACTACAAAAACACTTTTTCCTGTTATAAGCTTCACCAGGTCTAGAGCTAGCAAGCGAGCAAGCATATGTTGGTAATGAACTTTCTCTCTTATTTGCAATGATTAATTGTTACATATTCATACCAAGAGCGGAATTTGTATCCAGAACCTCAACTGGTTACTTTAATTTCTCAGTAATGATTTATTTTCTGATAGCTGAAAAGATAAAAAAACATGAGAATTGGGAATCTTGCTTTCCATGAACCAGGGTTAATTGTGCCTAGCCTCACAAGCACCGTACCCAGTACTTGAACTGTGAAGTGTCAATTCTTTCTCTTTCACTTCAAGTTACAGAATATATTATAACTTAATTGCTTTAGTTACAATGATAGATCGATCTCAAACCCCTAAATTTGGAATGGGAATTTTATGTGTGAGAATAATGAATCAAGTCCCGGTTTGTGTCTACTCTCTAGCTAGCACTTTGAAAACCGATGGCAAAGGTTGTTTTGAGACCTCCTGAATTCAGTGGAAGGGCATGCTAAAGCAAAGTTAAAAAGAAATTATAGAATCTGTCTGTCATCCACTTTGCCTGGTGACTCTATCTTTTCACTAAGAGAATCTTTACATAATTGAACCTCTCTTCTTTGATCAAATTGTAATATAGCTGTAAGGAATGGTGACCATTTAATTAAATTTGTAAAAAAGCTACGCCTTTTTCTTTTGAAATAAGTTGCTTTGATTGATGGATCATCCCTCACCATGTGCCGCACGCCTTAAAATGAATGATCGTTTTGAACCCTTCAAAATTCTTCCTGCTTCCACTATTGTATGATTCTTTCCTTTCACTTTTGAATTTTCAGACTAAACATAGTATGCGGTTTGGTTATTTAGCTTAAGATATTTTCAAAGAATCATCTACAATGTAACATATTTTCTCCTATTCCAAAGCTGTACTCCAAATTGTTTTAGATTCAATCTCCAACTTCTTTAATTTGTGCTAATATATGAACATTAACCACACATGGAAAAATTAAGCTATTTGATTTTTCCATGCATGAAATTCAGGTTTCTATATCAAATATATATACGCACACTAATTATCCTTAAATTTAAAAAAAAAATTTCATTTTTTATGTTAGTTTATACTAAACTAGTTATTTGAAACTCTAACCACACATTTTTTTAACTTTAAAATGCTTTTGTCCATTCTTTCTTCAAGCAAAAATACACTCAATATTTTTGTTAGGTTAAATGCTAATTTTGGTCCCTCAACTTTATTAGTTTGCACTTTTTTGGTCCCTAAACTATTTCTTATACTTTTTTGATCCCTCAAGTTTAGAAATTGCACAATTTTAGTCCCTCTGTCAGTTAAGTGTGATGTGGCCATTAAATATTTCCATATGACATTTTTTTTATTTTGTGTCAACACATAATCCGAAGTGTCAGCACCACGCGATCAGCATCTAAAATTCAGTTTCCTATTCCTATTCCAAATCCTACTTCTATTTCAATTAGGGTTTCTAAAATCCTATAAATACCCATCTAAATTCAGAATGAGGAGAGCTTTGAGAGACTAGTAGCAGCCCTCTCTTGGGCATTCTTGGAGGTCAAGATAGAGGATTCAATAATAAAAGATCAAGTAGTTCGATTTCCTCAAATTGGATTTTATTCTTCCTTGTTCTTAAATTGGCTAGTGTGGATGAAGGTGGTGCAATGGTGGGGATTACAGGGGGTTTTGTCGAAAGACATTTTTGGTGTGGCAGAGTTCGTGACGCATGGTATTAGTGGTGGTTGTTTGGCGGATTTAGGGGCTTTCATTTTTCTGATTGTTGGTTGGTTTATGTGGTTTCGGAGGAATAGGCAGGTTTTTGGAACAGAGTTGATGTCTGAGGAGTTAGTCTTGGAGTATATTCAACATAAATCATTTTTATGGCTTAAAAATAAAGAGAAAGGGTGTGGTTTCTCTTATCAAGAATGGGTCTCAAGTCCGATGGAGTGCAGGGCAGCCATTGCTCAGCATCGTAAAAATAGGAAAATGTATTACAGGCGGCAGCGAGATGTGGGATGATTTTACTGCTCTTAATTGTTGCTGTTTCATGTACAAAATTGTTAGTTCTTAGACGCAGGATCTGGGCTTTAAGTGGGATTTTATTTGAACTTTTTTCTTGATGTTGTAGGTGCCATTTGGGGTATTTCTTATACTCCTGATTAATATATATCATTCATTTTGCTGATCAAAAAAAAAAAAAAAAAACTATGATTGTAGATTTTATTCTTTTTATTATGAACTGATTTATTTTATTAAGGCTATGATATAACCTAATCAATTCAATATAGATTTTGTGATTTTATATTTTCAATTAAAGTTATTCGCATGAGGAGTTTATATTATTGAACTTAATGCATTGGAAGTTTGATTATTTTTCAATTGATTTAGTGATTTATGCATGAACTTGAGAAAGAATTGCGTAGATTAGACCAATAATAATATAAACCGTGTGCTAGACTATGAGACCGAGAGGTAATTAGCTCACATGTGGTAGTGGAGGAAGAGAAGAGAGTTAGGAGCTCCCCCTTCTTAAATTAGAGGTTTCCATAGAATTTAATGCTCATTAGTTTGTTTAAAATTACATAGAGATATGATTAATTTAACAAACCAGT